AACAAGAGTTAAGCTCCTATTGTTTCTGGCCACCAAAACATCACCAACTTCTAAATAAAGACCCAAAACACTTCTAATATTAAACACTGAAATTAATGTAAGCTATACATATATTTAAGAAAGATTAATAAAAACAAGTAAGATAATCATGCTCCAACCTGCTGATTCCAGTTCAGGGTCCCAGGTGGCTTGAGTCCACCCAGCAGCTGAGGGCACAAGACGGGAGCCCACTTGGACCTTCCATCGAGGGTACAGTCACACACACTCACTCAGACTGGGACCATTTTGACCAGCAGTCGCCAACCTTTCAGACCTCACAGACCACCAGTGGTCCGCGGACCACCGGTTGGCAACCGCCGCTCCAAAGGTTTCCTTAGACATCCGATTCACCTCATGTGCACATCTTCGGGATGTGGGAGGAAACCAAAGCACCCAGAGAAAACTCACGCAGACATGGGGGAGGACATGCAAACTACACACAGTGGCCCCAGCCAGGAATCAATTTTTTTTTCCTCATCAACATTGAACAAAACAATGTTACTTGAGGACCTGCTATTCACTCTTTGTGGAATATACAAATACTGATATAGCCCTAGCTGGTTTGGCTCAGTGGACAGAGCGTCGGCCTGTGGACTGAAGAGTCCCAGGTTCAATTCTGGTCAAGGGCACATGCCCAGGTTGCAGGCTCTATCCCCAGAAGGGGGCATGCAGGAGGCAGCCAATCAATGATTCTCTCTCATCATTGATGTTTCTCTCTTTCTCCCTCTCTCTTTCTCTCTCTCCCCCTTCCTCTCTGAAAAACACACACACACACACACACACACACACACACACACTCTCTAAAGGCCCAGTGCATGAAATTCATGCACGGGTAGGGTCCCAAGTCCTGGCCGGCCATCAGGGCCAATCGGGGCCTTCCAGCTCCTGGCAGGGCAGGGGCCTTCCTTCATTCCATACCGCCTCCTGGTGGTCATCTCATGTCATAGCGAGTGAGCGAACTCCCGGTCTCCCGGTCAAACTCGCGAGGGGACACTTTGCATATTAGCCTTTCATATATACGTGTATATATACATATATACACACATATATATAATTCATTGTGTAAATTAGGAACATTTTAAGTAGGAAAAAATAAGACTATATGTATGTAATAAAAAAATCACAACCACAAACATTAACCTAAAATTTTTTTATAAGCTGTTGAACTAAAGTGATATGTGATGCCATCAATTCCTAGTTATTTGCTTAATGATTTTATCACCAGCTAGAGGTCACTTGTGCTTAAGCAGTAGCTGCTGCCGTAAAAAAAAAAAAAAAAAGGAATTCTGAAGGGAAAATTATAAAGATTTTTTTTAAAATTTTTTTATTGATTTCAGAGAAGAAGGGAAGGGAGAGAGAGAAATAGAAACATCAATGATGAGACTGCCCCCTATTGGGGATTGAGCCGCAACACAGGCATGTGCCCTGCCTGGGAATAAAACCGTAACCACCTGGTTCATATATTATATTTTTTGCCAATGTGACAAAAAATAGGTATAATTTTGATTCATTCACACTAGACCAGTGGTTCTCAACCTTCCTAATGCCGCAACCCTTTAATACAGTTCCTCATGTTGTGGTGACCCCCAACCATAAAATTATTTTCGTTGCTACTTCATAACTGTGATTTTGCTACTGTTATGAATCGTAATGTAAATATCTGATATGCAGGATGTATTTTCATTGTTACAAATTGAACATAATTAAAGCATAATGATTAATCACTAAAAAAATATGTAATTATATATGTGTTTTCCGATGGTCTTAGGCGACCCCTGTGAAAGGGTCGTTCGACCCCCAAAGGGATCGCGACCCAGAGGTTGAGAACCGCTGCACTGGACAGTTATTGTTGTGTTGGCTATTGTCATTTTTTTCATTTTAACAATCTAAGGGAAAAGAGACCAGTGCCCTTAAAAATTCTTACAGTGCCCGCGTAGGTGTGGCTCAGTTGGTTGGAGCACTGTCCCAGGCACTGAGTTTGATTCCCAGTCAGGGCACATACCCAGGTTGCAGGTACCATCCCAGTTGGAGTACGTAAGGGAGGTAACTGATCAATGTTTCTCTCTATCTCCCTTCCTCTCTCTCTAAAAATCAATGAAAACATATCCACAGATGAGGATTAAAAAAAGAAAAGAAAATTCTTGCAGCACACCAGTTGCAAATCACTACTTTAGAACAATGGTTCTCAACTCCAGCTGCACATTAGAGTCACCTTGAATATTTAAAATAAAAATAAAAACAATATATGGTGGCACTTATATGAAGTAAAACATATGGCAACAATAGCACAAAGGGCAAGGCCAAAAGGGCAGATTCTTACAATATGTGTAAAGTGGTATATTACTTGAAGGTAGACCATGATAAGTTAAAAATGTATACTATAAAGATTAAATCCTAAAGTAATCACTAAAAAAGTAAAAACAGAGTTATACGTAATAAGCCAACAAGAGACAAAACATTATATGCAGAGCCCATGGACACAGACAATAGTGTGGTGAGGCCTGGAGTGGGGCAGGTGTGGGTGGAAAGGGCGTAGGAGGGAAAATGAGGGACATCTGTAATACTGTCAACAATAAAAATAAATTTTAAAAAGAGAGACAAAATGGAATAATACATACTCAAGTCAAAAGAAGGGAGAAAAAGAGGGAAAACAAACAGAACAGATATGACAAGCAGAAAAGAAATAGCAAGATAGATTCAAACTTAAACATAATTGATAATCACATTAAATGTAAATGGCTTAAACGCCCCAAATAAAAAGCAGACACTGTCAGATAGGACAAAAAGCAAGACTCAGCTAAATGCTGCTACAAGAAGCCCACTTGAAATATAAAGACTGAAACAGGCTAAAACCAAAAGGATGGAAAAGCACCTGTCACACTAACACTAATCAAAAGAAAGCTTAATACCAGACCAGTAGATTTCATAGCAAAGAATATAATCAAGGATAAAGAGAGTCATTCAATAATAATAAAAAGGGTCAATGCATCAAGAGTACATAACAATCGTAAACATTTATGCACTAATAAGTTAGCCCACAAAAACAGAAAAATAGGAAAGATGCCTTACAAAGTTAAAACACAAGCATCATCATTCCTGAATCAAAACTGAAGATTGTCAAGATTGTTATGCAATAAGTGTCATGCAATTTTACTAACAAAAGTACAGTTTTCCCCAAAAGGGTCAAAGGTAGTAATGTGTTAAACAGCTTATCAAAATATTTATGACTTCAATGCAAAGCTGAGGAAAGTGATCTAAAGCTGACTCACCTTTCATATTGCCTATCTCGTGGTAATGAAGCACCCCAATGTCGAAAGTCCATGATTAACATAAGTAGAAGGAGGCAGGATATGAAGAAGAGTCCTAGGAATGCCACCCGCTGACGGGGAAATGGGCTCACTGTGGGCACAGTAAAGTACCAGGAGGCTGGGCAGAGGTAGGAAAAACTGATCCTGAAATGAGACAAACATGAGTAAGAAAAGTCTCTACAACTGAGTACTAAAATATAGTTTTTAAACTGGATTAAAGCCCTTCCGAATAAATGCAAAAATTCATGCCACCAGAAACTTAAATGTTCTTTGAGTCTCAAATTTTAGAAAAGGACCTATATGGTTCATGGTGCTTCTACCATATAAGTCAGAAAAGCTGTATCTGATCTTTTTCCAAGTCTGTACTTTGGGGTGCAATTCAAAGAATTAATCTTATTTTAATGAAAAGATTGCGTCTCCCTGAGCAACTTCATAACGCTGAACAATCAGAGCACTACAACATTCCCACCAAGAATGCTGTCAAAAAATTGGGTAGTCAGGAAATGTATTCCACTGATTAAAAAATATTTTAATAGGTAATACATGCACACAGTAAAAAAATCAAACAATTAAAAAATATATATATATATACAATGGAAAGTGAGTCTTTTGCCCTAATCCAACCATTTCCCTCTCAGAGGCAACCATTACTACCCAGTTTCTATGTATTTTTCCAAGGATATTCTATGTATACACAAGCATAGATACATATTATATATGGTAACATATCCGTGTGTGTGTGTGTGTGTGTGTGTGTGTGTGTATGCATCTCCATTTTGTTTTGTTTTACACCTTATATACTGTTTTGCATCTTTCCCCGCTTACTCTGTTTGACAACTGTCCCATATCCACAGATCCACATTAATCTTTTCTGAACGCTTCAGAGTATTATTACAATGGTTGGACAAGTGTATTCAACTGTGAAGTTCATTTTCTATACTGATTCAAAAGGACCTCAGTCTGTTTTCAAGGTTCATTACAAAATAAAAATCTTTTTTTAACCTAGTCTCACTCAAATGGAAATCTGAAAGAATATTACAGTCTAACCCTTTCTGAGCTGAGCAAGCACTGACCTGGGCCGAGGGTTAGGGGCTGGAAACTATTGTATCTGCCTTCAAAAGAATGAAACTTTGATCTTTGCAACCATGTGTCCCGATGCAAAGTCCAGATGCAGACCCAGGACGAGCTTCACCGTTAACCACCTCCCAGGACCCCTCAACCTGCCGGCCACCCCGCACCGAGCCCAGCTGGGAAGGAAGTGAGCAGCCTTACCTAGCCATGGGTTCCCCTCAGTGGTCCCAACGCCTGTCACCTCCTTTTCCTTTTGCCCGGAGAAGGTGGTCTCCTTGTCCCAGGCATCTCCTAAGCCTGCAGCCTGGGAAGAGTTGGATGGGTTTCAGGCTTACCTCCAGCAGTGCCCACGAGACCAGACCTCCGGGAGGAGGCCAGGCGCCCACCCACTCCCCGAGCTCCCATTCCAGACACGTCCGCTCGGGTTCTGGGGCCCGGCGGACCCTCCCCGGCTTCCTGGGAGCGGGGAGTGCTCGAGGGCCAGCGGGGTCCTGGAGGAACCGGCAGCCCCCGGGTGGCGGGGTGGGGTTTCCCGCTTCGCTTCCCGTCCCCCTCGGCCCCGCCGCCCTCCAGCACTCACACTCACGGGTCCAGGGGCCCGCCGCTCCTCCAGCACCTCTCCGCGCTGTCCCGGGCGAATGCCCACGGTCTCCAGCCCAGCCGGAAGGAGGCCTGCGCCGGCGGCGGCGCCACGTCCCCAAGGAAACCGCAGGGAGCCAATGACTGACAGGGGACCCACGGAAAGGGACCCGCCCTCCGCCGGCCAGAGCCACCGGCGAACCAGCTCCGTGGGCCGCACGTCCGTCCATCGGAATAGCCAATCCCCAAGAGTGTTCGGCCTCTAACGCCCGCCCCAGGATTCCGAGTGCGTCCAATCCGGAAGGGTGTCGTGCCGCGGCTCCGCCCGGAGGGGCCGGCGGAGGACGCACAGGTGAGCGGTGCGAGCGGCACCCGGGCACCCGGCTCACTCCGCTTTCTGAGCGGCGGAAAGTCTCCGCCGGCTGCTTTCTCCGCGGCTGCTCCCAGGACAGAGCGGCCTCGGTGGGTGGGTGGCTCTCGGGGTGTCTGCGACAGTAGTGCATCCCTTGCCCACAACCTATTGGAGGTTTTGTGTCCACCAACCCTGCCCGGCAGAATGGCAGTTCTTCCACCTCAAACCTGTCCTATAGCCTCCCAAACGGATGCCTTGGCTGCGTTGTTTTGTCCCGCGAGAAAAACATATCAATTGGGGACAAGGCCGTCTACACCGAGGCGCTTATACCCATTCATTCAACATTAATTGATTGTCTGCTGTGTGCCAGACATGAGCCAAAACGTAATGTTTCCTTAATGCGGTGTTTCTTTCTTGTTTACACAGCCGTTCCGTTTCCAGGAGGGAGCCGCTCCGAAAGGATAAAGTCCAAGTCCTTACGAACGTGGCACAGGCATGGCCGTCCACGACCCGCCGGTGCATCATCTTCACTGCTCCTTACCTCCCTTAATGGGCTCCAGCAGCACCTCTGTGGGGTCTGCCCTCTCGGGTATTGCTCCTTCTGCCTCCCCACCCCTGCAGCTGCCTTGAATGTCCTTCCCTGACTTTTAGCAGGCCAGCTAGCCTCACCTCTTGTAAAAGCCTTACTTGACCTACACCCCGTTTATATATGCCTATTGTTTCGCTTACTACACGGAATTGCAATTATATGTATGTGTCTGCCCTAACTGGTTTGGCTCAGTGGATAGAGCGTCGGCCTGCAGACTGAAGGGTCCCAAGTTCGATTCCGGTCAAGGGCATGTACCTTGGTTGCGGGCACATCCCCAGTAGCGGATGTGCAGGAGGCAGCTGGTCAATGTTTCTCTCTCATCGATGTTTCTGACTCTCTATCCCTCTCCCTTCCTCTCTGTAAAAAATCAATATATATATATCTGTCCAAATGGACAGAATATCCTTGAGTGCAGGGAGTGTGTGCTTCCACTTCAATGTTGGGCACTGCCTGGCACATAAAATACACTTAATATACGATATATAAGTGAACGAATAACTGGAATTAAATGAAGACAACCCAAATGAGAACAAAAGAGGCTATTTATTCCATGTCTGCTATAACAAGGCAGTCAGCCACCATTATTTGTGTCTGGCAGAGACTCAAAGGTGTCAGGGGAGTAGGAAACTAAAAG